CACAGGGCCTGTCTGGGTGCCGAGCCGATGGACTAAACCTGCTGATCCCAGGGATTTACCTTCAGCTGATCCAGAAAATTCTGCAGATACTTCTCGCTCTCTACCATCAACATAGAGACGGGATCTGATGAACTCTCACATGAAAATCTTGTGTACAGTACCGAATTGTGAATGCTATCCTTTTGTATGTTACATTTGTAAAGTGTGTAAAGAAAAGTGGTGGATACATTCTAAGTGGGGTCGATCTCCAAGAGGGATTTGTACAGAGTGTTATAACTTTGAAAGAAATTTAACTGAGATTGCATTACAGGAAGGTGTGCAAACAGGACAATTTGAAAAAGGATCTGATAGATGGTGGGAGATTTTTGCTTTTGGCATAAATCCAGAAAATTATTGTTATCATCCTAATACCCCTTTACCATATATTATTGAAATAACCACAATACGTTGTCGCACTGACACAGGTGAGGTGTGATATTCCAGGGGTAAAAAATAAAAATTGGGAGCAATTCTTAAAACGGCAGTCTCGAGAGAAAGGGTCTTTCCCTGAAAGTTATCCCTGCTGCCGAGAAGATGGAACACCCCGTGGTTTGAAGCAACCAAATCGACAGGCGAGGCAGAGGGGTAAAAGAAAAGGGAAGCAAGATCTCACATGGGATCCAGCCAAGATGCTGGCTGAACTGCCACAATCCTTTTAAAGTCCTTAAAGGACTACCTCTGATCAGGTTGTTGTTGTGTTTACCATGATAAAGGGAAATGACGGGTTTTTGATTGACATGGATGAAAGACAAAATATGTGGGTAACGTGGGCTAATCAAACTGGACAGGATACTTTTTGCCTTTCAATGGCTACCCCTTCGGATCCTTTTCGAACTTGTTTAGTGGGCGCACCTTTGGATGATTCATTCAATGCCACAATGTTTAAAAACTGGACAAAGAATTGGAAAACACCCAAGGAAGCAAACAAAACATTATGTGAAATTCCATCAGGTAAATTCACGATCAATATCTGTGACACAGTTTTAATCTCAGCAAATCCCATTGGTGCTCGAAATTGGTACATTGCTACAGGTTTAAATGTTACTGGGTCAGAACCACAAGAGTTAAGACTGTTAGGCTCAGCCCCTAGCAACTACTGTTTGGTTTTTGTCAATTGGGCTAGGAACAATTATGCAAAAAGGTCTCATGGGCCAAATGGTACAAATGTTTCTCCACAAAATTTGCTATATTTGCAAAATAATGATGCATACTGTGGCAATTGGTCTCACAAAGTAAATTCTAGTAGTACACCTTTACAATTACTACCTGGTATTTTTCTAATCTGTGGAGATCGTGCATGGCAAGGATTGCCAGCAAACCTTTATGGTGGGCCTTGTTATTTTGGGAAATTGACATTGTTTGCACCCACTGTACAGCAACTATTAGGAGCCAATAGAACCAGGTTACGAACAAAGAGAAGTGTGTTCCAATTGGGGCCAGAATGCAAGGATCAGGTTGAACTTTGGGAACGTCCTACAGTGATTGTGTCATCTATTTTTACACCTGGAGTATCTAGTGCTCAAGCCTTAACACAGTTACGACGATTGGCATGCTGGACAGGAAAACAGTTTAATATTACATCAAAGGTTTTGTCTGATTTGCTTTTGGATATGAAGAGTGTTAGGCATGCTGTATTGCAGAATAGAGCTGCTATTGATTTTTTGCTATTAGCACAAGGCCATGGCTGTGAGGATTTTGATGGGATGTGTTGCATGAATCTTTCTGATCATTCAATGTCTATTCATGCTCGTCTTCAACAACTACAGAGCAATATGAAAAAATTAACCATAGAAACAAATCCTTTAGAGGAATGGTTTCAATCCCTAGGTCTTTAACAGGATGGTTAAAAAATTTGGCACAAATGGCAATTGTTGTTATATTGATCATTTTGATTGTGTTATTGTTTATTCCTTGCATACTGCAATGCTTGCAAAACATGGTAAAAAAGGCTACTTCTACAGTTTTGTTAGTACAAAAAGAAAACAGGGGAATTATAGAGGAATGGCTAGAGAGCAAAGGTCATGTTCCCATGCAGCAGTTAGCTGGGAAAGAATGAGACAATAGAGTACAGTTGGTGTGAGATGTTGCAAAGTCAGGAAGGCCTTGGTGATAGCTGTTAACTGAGAACAGGACGCTGTGATCAGAAGAATGTGAATTCAGCATAGATGAGCGATCACAGGAATGTGGAATTAGGTGGAGTTGACCTTAAATGAAGTATCCAATAATGAGCTTACTTTTTGCACTATGTATGAGCCTAATTATTGATGCTATATAAGTGGTGTTAGAGTTACCAATAAATGAGACTTGCTGATCATTCATATTGAGTGCTGCATTTCTCCCGCCAAACTCATCATGCCCTCACAACCCAGGGACGCTCAGCATGGGCTCCCCCAGCCCCTCAGTGCCCCACTGCTGGCCACAGCAGCCCCTGCCTGGCTCCTGCCTGCCCACACTGTGGGCACCCCCGGCTGCTCCTGGACATGGAGCTCAGCAGGGCTGGTGAAGTGTGGGCTCTGCTGGTGGTACCAGCCGGACACTGGGGTGACAGCTCCATCTCTTTATTAGAACAAAAAACATGGGCCAACCCCTGCTCTGGTGGACAGGGGCTGCCCAATTTCAGTCCTGGCCAGGGACCAGGGTCAGGGGGCTCAGGGGCAGAGGGTCTCGCTTGGGAGGTCCGAGTCTTGGGATGCCCTCAAGACGGGGATGCAGCCACAGCACAGCAGATGGGGAGAGATGTGAAGAGCGAGGATAACAGGTCAGCTTCTCAGAGACTAAAATCTTTGGCTGGTCTTCTGAAGCTGCAGAGGTGGTCCTGTGGAGAGAGGAGGTGGCTGAGGCCCCCAGCTGCTGCTGGCATCCTGGCGAGCAGGGTATGGCTCTGGGCAGGGTCCCTGGCCAGGAGCGGGCCCCAGAGCGCCTCTGCCTTTCAAGGGCAATCTCGTCCCCGCGCTTTCTCCTGCCCACCTTGCTTTGTCTCTGCCCGCTGCTCCTGGGGCTGCTCTTGGCCAGGCAGCCTCAGTGGGAGCCAGCACTGGCTGCAGCCCCAGCGGGCTCCCCAGGACAAGGCCCAGCAATTAAGAGGCCAATTAAAGGCCTGGGCAGCAGCAGAATTCTCAGCAGAGTTATTTGGACAACCAAGGACTAGCCACAAGTCCACAGCAGCCTCATTGGGAATGTCTCCTGACTATGAGCAGCCTTTCAAGAAGCTGTTTGAGGGCGAGATCAGCAAAACACTCACCATTTTCTCTTCCAGCAATACCAGATTCCAGCACAGCATATCATCAGGAAAAGTGCTCCACCAGCCACAATGGCCATTAACTTAATCAAACCATGTGTTCCCTGGTAGAAAACTCTTCTCATGCTTTCCCAGATATTCTGAGCATGTGTTGTGGTGCCGACTGCATCTGTGGGAGCAGTGGGCAGCGTGAGACTGTGCTGTGCTCCACTGCTGATCTGGCAGCACACTGGATACGGCCAGGACATTCTCTGTTTCACCCAGAGCTGGGGCCTGCAGGCACCTTGGCACCCCTTGGCACAAGACTGCTCAACCCCCCGAGCTTGAATGGCACAATTTCTCTGTGCTGTGCTGGTCTTCTCCAGGCAATACTTGCCAAAGACATGGATAAGGATCAGAAAAATGCCCAGGGTTTTGGAAATCCTCCAGGGCCACCCCTCTTCCAAACAGACCCTAAACCTGAACTGCCCCGATACCAGGAAATCTCAGGGGATCTCAGGGTGTGCATGGCCTGTGCTGCACTTTGGGCTCTCTGTCAGCTGATGCTAAATGCCTTCCTGCAGAGGCTGGGGAGAAGCTGCAGCTCCTTCCAGGGCTTGGAAACAGCTCTGCAGGGCATGAAAGCAGCAGTGGGGCAGTGAGGCTGCCATGGATCCCTTCCTGCTGTACTGGGCACAGAGTGTCCAGATGTGCAGAGAAAGCCACCAGCTGCTGAGTCTCAGGAGAAGGCTGAGGGACATGGACCCACCACAGCGTCCCTCCAGGTCATTCAGGATTATGTCCAGATATTTGAGTTCCCCCATTGCTACATTACTATCTCCTATAGGTTTGTTCTTCTTTCCCAGGGGACCAAAATATAAAGTATTTCCATTTCCCAGGAATGGATCCCACAGAACCCGTGCTCAGCCTGTGGGGTCAGCAGGGATGCAGCACACCCCTGTGATGGGATCTGGGCTTGCTTGCAGAATCCAACTCAGGAGCTGGGAAAGTCCCCCCTGCAGACACACCTGTAGTTCAACAGCCACAGAAGCTTCTCTCATCTCTGCTGCACAGGCAGCACTGAGCCATAGGAGCAGTGAGAGGATCACGCAGGGCGAGGGCACACACGTGCACAGCTCTGTCCTGGCACCTGCAGCGAAGCCGCCCTGGCCGAGCCTTGGGCTCTGAGCTGGCAGCTCTCCCAGGGGGAAAGGCCTTGACCTACCCTCATAATCTTCCTCATCATCAGGCTCAGTAACTGATATGGACGGGGAATCCAGATCATCTTCATCATCAGGGGAATCCAGATCATCTTCATCATCAGGTTCATCTGCAAAGAAAGTCAGGACAGAACAGCTCCCATGACACTGCTGAAGATTCTTCTTCAGGCTGGAGTGGCAGTGAGTGCACCTGGGTGACTGCTGCCCTCCAAAGCACTCCCTCCTCTCCACCTTCCACTCAGGAGCAGGAGCAGGGGGACCACGTGCCTGCAGTGGCCCCACACTGGGATGGAAGGAGCCCCTTGCATGGCAGACAGGGGAGAAAGGACTCCCTGGAGCTGCCAGCAGCTCTGAACTGAGCCCCAGGAAGGGCCAGGGCTTGGCAGTGGCAGCTGGAGCAGCTCAGGCTCCCTGGGGCTGGCAAAGGAGCCACACAAGGCACAGCCCCAGGGCACAGCCCTGGCCTTGGCCCCTTCCCTCTCTGTTCTTCTCTGTGGCTGCACAGAGCACATGGAAATAGACACTGGCATTGCACACGGGAAGAAGATTGACAGCTAAATGCTCCTTCCTCCCACTGACAGCAATGCTGTGGGATCACTCAGGGCTCCAGAAGGGAGCAGGGCGAGGTTTCCAGAATCCATCAACCTTCAGACTCTCAAGGGAAATGGCACGTGAGTGAGGTCTTGCCACATTGACACTGATTATTCTGTGGAAAAAGGGACATTGAGAACTTGCCTCCAGCATCTGGCAAGGTCTTCAAACCACCATCTACCAATACTTCCAGATGCTGCATGTCACGATCCCAATCTGGAAGGGAGCACAGATCAGAACCATTCCATGGTGTGCTGGGATCCCCTTCTGCCTTAGGGAACTGGGCACTGCAAGGGGTTTGGGGGAAGGCCACGGGAGCCAGATGTCAGTGGACATGGCCAAAGCTGCAGAGGGGCCTGGAGAGCTCTGGGCTGGCTCTGGTCACACTCCAGCATCTTTGCAGGCCCTGTGCAACATCTCTGGATTGGCGGCAGGACCGACCCAGGGCCCTTGAGGATTCTCTCCCTCCCACAGAGGAAACCCTCCCTAAAGCTCTGGGGAAAACCATCCCCAGTGCTTCCCAGGGAGAAGGGAGCACTGTCCCAGGAAAGGGAAGCCAGGCCGCCGGCTCACCTGCTCGCCCTGCTCCCCATGGAGCAGCCTGGGCAGCCCTCTCAGGCAGGGCCACTGCCAGGAGGAGCAGGAGGAGGAGGTGCAGAGCAAAGGCCATGGTGCCTTGCCCTCTGCCAGTCCTGCAGCTCTTGCTGCCACCACTGTCCTGACACCGCTGTCCCAATGTCAGCACAGCTGCTGCCACCGCCGCTGCTGCCGCAACAGTCGTGGTCAAGGACTGACTGCTCGGTCCTCGTGGTGCTGTGCAACCACGGGGCTCTGGGACCTCTGTGACCTCAGAGCCTGCTGTCACCTCAGCCTGCTGTCACCCCAGAGCCTTCTGTGACCTCATGGCCAGGGTGGAATTGTGTGGGGAGTGGGATCTGCCTTCTTCACTAGGGAGCTCATCCTGCCCAGCAGCTCTGTCAAGGGCTATGACAGGGTCCCAGCCCAGCTGATCTCACAGGCTGGGGGATGAAGGGATGGAGAGCAGCCCTGCTGAGAAGGACTTGTGGCTGCTGCAAGGAGAGAGGCTGGACATGAGCCAGCCATGTGCCTCCAAATGAGGCTGCCCAGCAGCTTGAAGGAGGTGATTCCACCACCCCTCTGCTCTGGTGTGAGCCCACCTGGAGTACTGCATCCACCTCTGGGTGCCCAGCACAGAAAAGACATGGTCCTGTTGGAGCTAGTCCAGAGGAGGGACAGAATGCTCTGAGGGCTGGAGCCCCTCTGCTTTGGAGACAGGCTGGGATAGCTGGGGGTGTTCAGCCTGGAAGAGGGAAGGCTCCACGCAGACCTGATTGCTACCTTTCAGTACTTTAAGGGAGCTTTTAGAAAAGACAGGACAGAATTTTTAGTAGGGCCTGTTGTGACAAGACTGAGGGGGAATCTTTTCAATCTAAAAGACAGTAGATTCAGACTAGACCTAATGAAGATGTTTTTTACACTGTGGGTTTTGAAACCCTGGCACAGGTTGCCCAGAGAGGTGGGCATCCATCCCTGCTGACATCCAAGCTCCTGCTCTGAGCAACCTGATCTAAAGGTGTCCATGCTCTCTGCAGGGCACTGCACTAGATGGCCTTTAAATGTCCCAAGCCAAGCCATTCTGTACTCCTGTGCACCAGCAGAGCAGTGCTGGAATAATGCTGGGGTGATGATGCTGGCACCTGTGCCATTCAGCTGTTGGCCAAGAGAGGATTGATGGGCTGCACAGTGAAGTCTGCAGAGAACAGTGTGCTCAAGGAGAAACAGGAGAGGAACAGGGCTTCCAGCTCAAATAAATGCCAGCATTTTGCTGCCCATTTCTTGTTAAGAAATAAAGCAATGTTCTGAAGATCCCTTCAATGTGGGTGCACTATTGGCTCTATCAGTACTTGTGTTCTGTAAAACAGGTGAGTTGTTACAGCTTCTTGCCCCATTTATCACTGGATAAAACCCAAATACTGCATTGCTCCATGTCTCCTTTCTTCCAAGTAAAGGCAGATTTTGTTCATTCTTGAGTGGGACATATTCATCTGTTGACAAGCAAATTCTTCTTGCCATTCACACAATGTTGATTTGCTCTAATCGGATTGTAATTAAGATCTAACTCAAATTATGCAACACTTTGCCTCACAATCCATCTGCCTAAATTACACTGGTAATTTAGGCAGATGGATTGTGAGGCAAAGTGTTGCATAATTTGCCCTGGAGAGAGTTTTTCTCTAATTCAATGACATATGAAGACAGGTGTAGCCTACCATACTTGTGGCATTAGTCTCCCGCTCTGTCCTTTTCTCTCACCCAAGGGGAAGATCGAGGTCTGCAGGTCTCATCTGTGCACAGAAAGAGTTAATATCTCACCCAGACCTGCAGATGGTCTTCAGCTGCCTCACAAACATTGTTTTATTTCACACAGGCATCCATCAGGACAGTGGCTGTGAAGCTTGGAACAATGTAGGTTTAGAGCAGCAAAAATAATAATCCATTTCCCAGGTTAAGCCAAGCATTTCCCAAATAACTCTAGCTATCCTCAGGGATGTTTCCAAAAGTATCATTGTAAATGTTGGGAGCGGGGAGAGAGAATGTGAACAAAATTAAGAATACAGCTTTCTAAGATCTTTTTATTCCTATAAAAGCAGAGTCAAAATTGTTTATAGATAGAACATTAACTAAGAAGTGAACAACAGATTGTCAAGATAATTGCTTAGGAATCAAAAATATCTAAATAAAAATAAGTTAACATGTGGCTTTATAAGAAAGCAATCATACTAAGAAGAAAAAAAAAACCCTACCAAATCTAAAAACAATAAGGTTGCCTCATCTGTCTCAATATCAAAAAAAAAAAAAAAAAAAAAAATAATCAGATCCTCAAGACCATTACTATATACAGGACCCTCCAGGTAGTAGGAATAAACAAAGGAATTTTTGGACAGGTTTTTTTTCTCCTTGGGCTGGGGGAACTGTCACAGGGAAGGGAGGGTCAGGGGTGGCCGTGGCTGCTCAGGAATGGAACCACTCCCTGGAAGGAGCCACTGCCCAAGCAGCTGTGCTGCCCCCGGGCTCTGCTCTCAGCTTTCTGGGCTCTGTTGGGTGGCACAGCCTGTGCCAAGGGGTGGCAAGGTGCCTGCAGGCCCCAGCTCTGGGGGAAACAGAGAACGTCCTGGCCGTATCCAGCGTGCTGCCAGCTCAGCAGTGGAGCACCACACAGGTTCACAATGCCCATTGCTCCCACAGATGCAGCCGGCACCACAAGACATGCTCAGAAGATCTGGGAGAGCATGAGAAGAGTTTTCTACCAGGGAACACATGGCTTGATTAAGTTAATGGCCACTGTGGCCGGTGGAGCACTTTTCCTGCTGATGTGCTATGCTGGAATCAAGTATTGCTGGAAGAGAAAAGGGTGAGTGTTTTGCTGATCTCGGCCTCAAACAGCTTCTTGAAAGGCTGCTCATAGTCGGGAAACATTCCCAGTGAGTCTGCTGAGGACCTGTAGATAGTCATTGGTTGTCCAAATAACTCTGCCAGGAGTTCTGCTGCTGCCCAGGGCTTTCATTGGCCTCTTAATTGCTGGGCCTTGTCCTGGGGAGCCCGCTGGGGCTGCAGCCAGTGCTGGCTCCCACTGAGGCTGCCTGGCCAAGAGCAGCCCCAGGAGCAGCGGGCAGAGGCAAAGCAAGGTGGGCAGGAGAAAGAGCGGGGACGAGATTGCCCTTGAAAGGCAGAGGCGCTCTGGGGCCCGCTCCTGGCCAGGGACCCTGCCCAGAGCCATCCCCTGCTCGCCGGGGCCTTGAGGGGCAGCTGTCCAGCTGGGCCAAGCTGTGCCAGCAGCTCCAGCCGTGCTGGGGAGCCTTGGCCGCTCTGGGCCCTGCTGTGCAGGAGGGTCCCTGCGTGCCAGCGGCAGCTGGGGGCCTCAGCCACCTCCTCTCTCCACAGGAGCACCTCTGCACCTTCAGAACAGCAGCCAAAGACTTTAATCACCGAGAAGCTGACCTG